AAAACTTTGTCTTCAAAATAAGAGTGTCTTATATTCCGAAAAATAAGATAAATATCACTGTCTAACATCATGCCATTTTTTTGGCATTTTAAGTCTTATTTTCTGTAAACTTAATGTAAATCAAGCACAGAGAAAGTAAATAGGGCCAATAGAAAATACAGTAATAGTAACAACGGGTATGGATGCAAGTCATTTTACACTGAACTTTTCACACTACAGTGCATAGTGTTTTGTAGGTGATAGTTGAAATATTCAACGAAAACTTCTATTAAAACTTCTCAGCCAATTATAGATAAAGTATAAATATGAGATGATGCTCTGTTAAACTTGCAACCAGTTATAACTTATAAGAGTATTTAAATTATAATGGATTATATCTCACGCTGATATTGCATTCTTTTTCTAACTTCTAACTGTAAATAATTAAAGCCTAATGTTTGTTTCAAACAAACCAAAAAAAGGGTTTAATGCCTAACTCTAATAACAGGTGTCTTTACCTGTCAAACCTACTTATCAAAATAAGAATCCTTCACCAAAAAAATTAATTTTGTCACGTTTAATAAAACTTAAACATAAGAACTTAACACAACCTATTGTGTTACATACCAACCTAGAAGTCAATTTGAATTTTATGCTTTTTCTTAAATTTATAAATATAGTACAATTGCCATTCTTATTCTAAAATTAGGCATTCCCTCCTGTCTAAGCTTTGAAAACATGTCTGTCGTCATTGCCTCGAATCGGTATCGATCACACGAACACGAGTTATACCATTCACTCAAAACAGCATTCGTTCTCTGTTTGAATAACTAGGAACTGAGTTACAAGAACTCATACATTTGTTTAGCAATATTATGTCAGGCGCTGATTATTTCAATTGTACACATCGAAGCCTCTGTGTGATTAAAAACCATCAAGTCAAAATCGAGTGGTAGCTGCGTCACTACAATACTGATGACGTCACTACCTAATACAAGATTCCCAACGATTCAAGGTGCCACAACATTCTTTAGGGTAGAAATACATCAAATATTGATATCACAAGCAACCTACATAACTAACGTTACCCAAAAGATTTCTGTAATTAAAAAACACGCAAGTTTAATGTTGACTATTGTTCCCTAATCATAAGGTTACAAATTGCTAATGAAACTGTTGACAATATGCTTATACTGCGGCTGACTTGTGCATAAGTTCAATAAAACATAAAAATAACGCATAATCAAACAACAATTACTTCATGGGTCTGCTTCTCAGAATTAGTCATTTCATATATCAAACAACGAAATGAATATTTCATTTACCATTACTAAACTTAATGAAAGGAAAGGGCCAGTGCCATAGTTTTATATTACTTGAAATTATAATAAATTCAGTTTTTTTTGTATTACTAATTAACAGTGTGGCTTTTATGGTGGATTATCCAACGAATTAAGAAATAGTCAACTTTAACAGACACGCATCAGTTTCGAGAAAATCGAAGTGTGAACATTTTTGAGGTTGTCTGATTAACCGGTAGTTAAACTGATCTGTCAATACAGTAAATGGCATAAACAATATATTTAAAAACAAATAGTTCACTAAATGATAGTATATATATATATTTAGCTTCTTATTAGTTTATACTTTGCTCCCACTATCATCGAGTTATAAGCAACTACATTATTATTGTTTAATCTGTTACTCTCTATAATAGCAAAATTTCAGATATCTTTAAAAACATCTTATCGTTTCTCAAAGGCAGGAAACTTTTAATAATTTTCTTTTGTTTTGCGAGGGTAATATAAGACTTATAAGATCGTGCACTAAAAGTAGCAAGTGATATTATTAACATTGCAGCACAGCACAAACGTATGTTATTATTTTTCGATTGACCGAATTGTGGCAGGAATAGCTATTTTTAATCATGATACAATTAACTTAAGCAATGGTCGAATGTATAATTTGAAATGCAAAGCCTTAAACACACTTGTTTAAAGAAATTTAAAGATATAATCACATTTTCCTCCCTACTGATTTGCATATATTTTAAAACAGTTTTTACGTTTATGTTATAGATGGAATTAGTCAGTTCTGTGGAAATTACATTTCCAAAAACAATGAGCTCGAACGAAACAGCAAAACACGTCGACTGCTAATCTATTTGTATCACAAAGAATTCGGCAGCTTAGATTTAATATTACACTATACAAAGCTTAAAGTGACAAGCTTTAAAAATTTAGTTTAAAAATATTATCACTCATTCATATAAGTACACGGTTTTTCATAGTCTGTAATTACTTTGACAATAAATAAATAAAAAGATTAAAATTATTGCCATCTGATGTCGAGTGATATTGCCGTCCAGATAAATGAAACTCTCTCTCTAAACATAGGTTTTACTAAAAGAGCCACAGTCCGGAATTTTTGATAAAATAGCATAAAATGATAGGCATTCATCCAACCAGCCAGCCACCACTGTTTAGCTTAGAAACCAAAGAATGAAAATGCTAACTTGCAGGTAATATCAGATCATGTGACTTGGTCAATCACATTATTACCTTTATGTTTTCACCCGCGTGTGTGTTTGTTTGTCAGCAAGATTTCTCGAAAATGGCTGAATAGATTTGAACGAAAGTTGGTATACCTTTGGACTATGACCCAACTTAGAGGTGAATAGTTTTTGGAGAGTCAAGGTCAAGATCACAGCAAGGTCACGAATATCCAAAAATCACTATCTGTTAACATGTGAACCGATTTTTCACACTATTTTTGCTCTGCCAAAAATGATCGTATTTTGATGAAACTTGGAGGACATATATAGAATATTATTCCTCCTTGTCTTGCCAAAAATGGTCCGTGTCCGTTGATAACGACAGATATATGGATACATTTTAGTATTTTCTAAGAGCCGAATGTAATCAACGCTGCGTGGTGGAGGTATGCGCTCTACTGAGTGCCCTCTAATTTAATGATTGAATTTCATTGTAACCATTTTATAGCTAATGGGAAATATCATCTTTGGAGAAACTTTGTCCATTAATGCAAATATTTGCAAGGCTACCATCTGTGGCTTTATTATGTCAAGGTGCTACTTTTAAGGCTCATAGCTCTAATGGCCCATTAATGGAGTATTATTTTCTGTGATTATATTATTATTATTATATTATTGTTACTTTGCGTAAACTACTTTGAAATCTGTAAAAAGTCACTGATAATGTTTTTTAAAATTAATGATACATATATACAAAACGTTTATTCATGTTTTTACAACTTAGTTTATTTAGTGGACTTGGTTGAGAGTAGAATGAAAATCAATCTTTTTTTCTCACCAAATATTGAAGAAAATTGTTCGACAAGAAAATGAGGAAGTAATTCGCCACTTTATGTCTTCTAAACCTTGCTGTACTTAAAATATCTAACAGTAAAGAAAGGGGATTAAAAACCATTAATTTTATGCAGTATTCGCCATTCTTCTTATTTCTATCCTATACTAGGCCATCGACGAATGAAGTGTTAAGATTACCGAATTCATATAGTTTGCCTTGAAATAAAGTTAAAAAGAGTTCGGGTACAGAAACTAGTCCGAAATGACATAAGACATAATAACCAGCTTTTGCTGGTTCTGGATTTGAACCCAATACGTCTCGCATGCTTACCAAGCGCATGGCATTTGAGCTTAAGAGTTAACTTCATAGTTACTACTACTAGTATATGTATGTATATGTTTTTTTACAGCAAAGCCACTATCTACTGTGTCCACCGAGGGGAATATAACCCCTGCTTTTAGCTACTAGTAGTAAGATTTTTTTTATCCGCTAAATCATCTGACAACCATAAATTAACAGGGCTAAGGCTACTTTCCAATTCTTGATGCAAAATACTATAACTGTTTAGTTTTGATTTCACACTATAATGCCAAACGTTAATACTGTTCGATGTAGTATTAAAAGACCTTAAATTATACAATATATATAGTTACTTTTACAAGCTATTCAAGAATTTGAGGAAAACTTAAAACTAGTCGGCAAAAATAGAAAGAAAAGAAGTTCAAAATACAGAAACCCGTCACTTTCCATTTAACAAATGCTGCTTGTTTATTACATTAACTTCTGTTTTTGTTATGCGCTGTGCATACAGATCAAACCACATGGCCAACATACCAGTGAATGCGTTTTAAAACCTATTATTTTTAGCTTTATTTAACATAAACTGGTGTTTATTATGCGGCATTTCTATTAATGTAAATGAAACTACGACGTCTATCCCCAAAACAAAAATATTCTTTAGATAAATACTTCGCAATTACAGCTTCGTCGGGAGCTTTTGATATCGTACAAGTTCATTAAATAACTGGATTAGAGAACATCTAGGTTATCAATAGCTCCTGACCAAGATGCCATAGTGAAATATTGAGCTAATAAATATACATTCTGAAGATCTAAGTCATTTTATTTGCGTTAATACAAATGTGTTTTAAAACTTTTCTTAAACTAGAAAAACAAACAAATAAATCCGTCTACGGACGAGACAGCTGGGTCTAGTTATAGTTATTATAGTTATTTGAAACCCGTATTGTAATATGAAGGCTAGGCCTATAGCATGTGACTACAATAGCTACATACTAAGCCTACAGTATTGAATAAGATATCGTTTGAAAGATAACTCTTCCTATATTTACCATCAAATTGCAAAAACTTTATCAGACTAGGTTGTGGTACTGGTTTAAATCAGCCGTGTTTCATTCCTAGCCCTCGCGAACATAGCTGAAGCCTAAGTCTACAGTCCATATATTTTTGTTATAGTTAGATGTATCTTTTGAAACATCAAAGAAGTAACATAAAATTCAGACTTAAAATTTGCTTTTTAATAAACATGGACATGTCATGAAAAAGTACAATGGCTAGACTTGAATAATTGTTATGCAAATACTCAATACGGGTATTTTAACATAATGAAGGGAAAATTTCATCTATGTACCATCATTTCGTACTTGCACCCTTGAGAAAAGGGAAAAAAATTAAACCCACCATTTATTTATCAGGAAATCGACGATTCTCCCTCTTACAGTTTAAACTCATTCCATAAGTCAGTCATCCAGAAAAATACAACGCTCTTAACTGAAGCCTAGCATATCTTTTCCAAATGTCATACTCATCCTATCACAACTGCAACAGCTAGGTTTACAGCATTAAGGCATCGTTGAAAAGACCATTTTCCCAATATTCATCATCAAAAATCGAATTTCAAAAATTGTATTCGATTCAGCCGCATCAAGTTTTCAAACCGAGGAGTTAAGGCCTAGCCCTCCCTTACATAAGGCAGCTATAATTGTTTAGTTAAAAAAAACGAAAAACTTTACATAATTCGTAACCCATAAAGATATATTATTCTCAGATTTTATCAGCGAACAAGAGATCGTTAGAATATCAGTGAGAAGAAGCATGTCATATTACAGTTTTAAAATATGTCATTAAATTTTTGTAATATTTCCCCAAGGGTTTGGGAAAAGATTAAGGATTGCATATGTGAACCATTTGCCACTATTTTTTGTAAGTCCTTGAATAGTGGGCAGGTGCCAGAAGATCGGGAATTGGCTAATGTCACTCCTATTTTCAAGGGAAGAGATAAAAATTGGCCTAATAATTATATGCTTATTAGTCCTCTACCAGTGGTGGGGAAGTTTTTGAAAGTCTAAAAAAAAAGATGCTTTGCAAAGTCATTTAACAAAGTTTAAAATTTTGTAGGATGGCCAGCATGGTTTAACCAGGGAAAAATTTTGCTTTATTAATCTTCTTACATTCTTTGAAGAGGTTACTGCTTATGTAGA